TAAAAGTTAAAAAGTTAAAAAATTATTTAAAAAGTCAAAAAGTCCATACTACAAGCGTGTGGGGGAAGCTATTTTAATTTTTATTTTTTTATATCCGACGGGTTCAATCAGTATACTTTGCACATGCATTTAGCAAAGAGAGAAGACATGACACATCCCAAGCCACAAATTCCCATTAAAAATTAAAAAAAAAAAAAAATCATGCACACCTCAAAAGTCAACAATTTGGTCAGTGTACTGTGCATGTATAATATTTTATTACACAATTTTTTTATAAAAAGTTAAAAAGTTATCTAAACATACATCTTTTTTTTCTTTATTTTTTTAGTCAAAAAGTCAAAAAGTGCATTTATATAGCACATCTCAGACAATCCCGACATGAAAAATGTTGTGATGATCAGGTCCATTGCCTTCACCATGGCCTACCGCAGATTTTGAACAAATTCTAATATTTAAGCTTTTAATTTCACATTTTTGCTTAAATTAAATTGAAATAATTCAAAATCCTAAGAAAAAATGTACTTAATGTTTTGACTAAACAAGTTAAATATGTTTAACAATCCTTCAATGTTTAAATTTATAGGTTCAATCTATTTGATTATGGTTTCAATACTAAGAGCGTTTTTATTACTGTCAGGCATTTTGTCTATTCAAAATACATAGTAAAATATATAATTTATTTTATCTATTTACTTTTTCATGTTTTTACTCCAATACTACTATATATTGTAACTATTTATCCAAACACTACTTTATTTATGGAATGATACATCAGCAATGAAGATAAAATATATACATATATATATATATATATGATCATAAAGGTCTCATACATTTTGCTTAGTCTTTGAAAGTTAACTACAGTTAACTAGTAAATTTAGGTTGAGACAAAAACATCTAGTTTTATACCTGGTATGCTAGAGTTGAAAAAAAAAGCAAATCATACTAAATTTTTTAGTTAACAGACATCACATGCATAATGTATTGAAGATGCTCTAATTAACTTAATTCGATGCATATGAATTTCTAGGGTTTTACCTACCTACATGATTCTATTGTTTGATTGCGGTTGCAGCTCAACTTCTCTAAACTAGACATGCACAAAAGTAAATATGTAAAACATATGGCAGTAATTAAAGCGCATGCTTGATATAGGGCATGCTCATTCAAGTACAATTTAAATTAATTAATTGCAAAAGAACCATGCACTGCAAAGAAAAGGGACTTTTTTTTTTTTTTGGTTTGTTTTGTTTTTTGAAGCATTGTTTTCTTCATAGTCGAACGGAAATTTTGCTCATCATCATCACCACAACCGCTCATGTCTCTTCTCATGTGGCTAGGAACTACTTATGAAAGACATGCACCAAATTTGTATTCCCATGAATCCCTCCCAACTACTTATTTTCTTAGTTATATTCCTAAAGTAAATGTCATATAAATATATAAATCTCACAAATTATCTGTCTATTTGTAAATGTAATATTTGGTATAAAATTTTGGTATGTAAAATTTGACCCATTTGATCATCGGAAAAAGAAAATGTTTCCAACTATAATTAGATGGTTAGAACCAACTCTACTATCACGTCAAGTTTTAAAAAAATAAAAAATAAAACTGAAAATTTGTGAGATCTCTATATATGTTTGTATGGCATTACTTAATTTTGAAGGAGAATGATCTAGCTTAACGGGTTTAATGAGTCCCTTAATTTGAGTCTAAAAAAATAAAACAGAGATTTGGTTGGGATCTACATATATAAGCAAAATGCATGAGAGCGATTACCACAGGGAAGAACATTAAGGGTAATGATATACAAGTATATATATATAATGATGTGACAAATTTTAAAAGTGGCTTATTAAAGTATTTATTTTAGAAGGAAAATGTTTAAAACTCCAAAAGAACTTTTCACAATTTACACATGTGGTATAATAAATGTAAAAATAAATAAATAAATAAATAATTTGTTAAAAAAATATAGATGTCAACCTTCGGTTTGTCGCACAATCAATTATGTAGGACCTATCTTTTTTGATGCATAATTGTGGGTGAATTTAGGGGTTCAAATTGTGAGTATCTAACATTTCTTATTTTAAAATTATACTGAAAATCTATACAAATAAATTATCAAGGTGATTTATTGTATTTTCAAAATGTATCTTTCACATCATTTTGTTGGGATTTATGCTGGGCCATGAAAATTCATCCTAGAGAATTGTAAACATGTATATATATATATATATATTTGTGTGTGTGTGTGTGCGTGGTTTTTTTTTTTTTTGTGTGTGTGTGTGTGTGTGTGTGTGTGTGGCAAAAACAATAGCCTTAATGAAAATGTTCGGACCGAGCCTAAAACATAACTGATATCAGCCCAATGTCTACATAATTAGGATAAAGCCCATGGAAGCATCACAGCTCACATCATTGTCAAGTCCACTGAAAGTTGGTAAGACATCCACCATGAAGTTTGGGCTTAAGATATCTGAAATGTGGGCTTTGTGGCCCATACTGTTTGCTGCTACAAAAGGGCCATTCTATTTGAACCCAAAAATTCTTTTAGTATGCCCAATTTAAATTTTAAAATTTTAATTCCTATTGTAATCTCATGTGAATTTACTAATAAGAATGACACATATTAAATCTTAAAATAAAATATTATTTTTTTTCATAGTATATCCTAATCAATTGTATGTATTCTTCCTATTCAAATCTCTTCATCTTCTTTCTCAAGTTTCAATTATTTTTCTTTTTCTTCCTTACACCAAAACTCCAATCTATCCCACTAAAACTTATCATTATCATCAACATCATTGTTTTTTATTATATTGTTATTTGCAAATAGAATAAAATTTGAACAAAATCAAACAATGAATGAGAGTAATAATCAAAATAGCTTTTTGAAGCAATCTATCAAAGAGGAGATAAATATTGACATAAATATCAAAATAAAATTATTGATTTCTGGGTTTTTTTTTTATATATAAAAGCAAATATTTAGCCTATTTTTCATTATTATTGTTTGGATTTTCGTAATTGAACAAATTCACTTTATTCAGTTATGGAAGTTCAAACACGAATTTCACCATCTCCTTCTCATTTGTCGTCTTCCTTCGTCGGTGCCGCTTTCACTGGTGTGAGGTTCCTTGATCATATTCCCTACGCGTACGTGAACGAAAGAAAGATTTTTTTAAGAATTTTTAAAAGTAATTTGAATTTTTTAATTTATTTTATTTTGGTGTATCTCAAAAGGGTAATTTGGAGAGGGAAAAAAAAAAGTGTACTAAGAATAAATTATAAATTTAAATAATTTAATAGGGTGTATTGGAAAATAGGGCTCAGCAAAATATTTTTTGAGCGTAAATAGAATTCCACGTTATAAAAGGGACCACAACTTGTATCTGTGGGCTCATTTGTGCTGATTGCCCTGTTTGGTAGAGTTTGTTTCCAGCTTATTTCAGTTTTTAGTTTAATTTAAGTTATTTTGATGTGTTTGGTTCAGTTTAACAAACAGCTTATAATTTTTTATAAGTCAAAAATCAACTTATTCTTTGAGTGAGAAAGAAAAAACTTAATTTATAAGTTAAAAATTAATTTATATTCACAATTATAAATTATAAACTGTTGAATTATAAATTAAAATCCTTCTCCCACAACTTTATCAAACGGGACCGACGTCGGCTGCTCAAGCCCACCAAGTTTACTTTTCTGCTACAGACCAAGAAAAGGGACTTTAGTTGTGACAAAAAAAAGAAGGCAACTTTTAGCCCCACACCAAAAGAAAACAATAATTTAGGTGGCATTTGATAATGTAATGTTGTCAGTGAATGCAAATAAATAAATAAATAATATTGTCACTTGACTACTTTTTATATATATAAAAGCAAAAATTAATTTAATATCAAAAAAAATTTAAAAAAAAAACATATATATTTAGTGAATTATCATAGGTAATAATTGGTGATGAAATGTGGTTGAATAGGGTGGATAACGGTGAGGTGATTTCGCCAAAGGTTATGGGAGTGTAAGGTGGTTAAAGGTCTCAAAAAAAAATTAAAAAAAATAATTATTCAGTAATTTCGTAATATACACACGTGGTGTTTTATAATATTATGATTGGTGGAGAAAGTGAATAAGTGGAGTATTGTGTTAGGAGATCGGGAAATATGAGGGACACATTGAATGATGATTGATTAAATAATACAAACATGTGGTATTCCTGAAATATTGAATAATTTAAATAAAAAAAAAAAGAAAAAAAAAAGGTGATTAGATACTCATTGATGGTTTGAAAGGAGTACATACTTGAGAAAATATATCTTTTTTATTTTGTTTTTAAAAGTCCTGAAAGTTTTGAAAATTATTGACTGTATTTGGTTTTAATTTTTTGAAAATTGAAATTTTTTATTTTTCATATTTTTTATATTTTTATTAAATATTTTTAAAATTTTAATTATTTTTTTATTTTTTAAATGTACTTTACTTACATGTATCTAAAAATAAAATATTTTTAAAAAAATATTTTTAAAAATCAATAAATATATAAGAATACAAAAAAATATAATGAATTTTAATATTTTTTTTATATTTTTGGTATTTAGTAATTTTTTTAAGAACTTTTTTATAAATATTATACTTTTTAAATGTATTTATGTTAAGTTTATTTAAAATTTAAAAAAATTACTTAAAATATTAAAAAAATAATAAAAACAAAAAAACAATAAACAAACAAACAAACAAATACAAAAAACAAAAAAAGTGTAATTTCGAAAAAATGAATCCTGAGGTAAGAAACTAAACAAACAAATTTGGTTTGATTTTTAAATTGTTTTTTTTTTAAGGGTGATCTTAATAGCACTTATCTCTTTTTTTTTGAAAAAAGGCTTCTCATTTCTTTGAATTCTCAATAAAAATCTTAAGGATTCCACATAATACCAAAATTATTCCTCTTCCAAAATATTACACCCCCCCCCCCCCCACCCCCCCAACAATTTTCCTCCAAACCACTCACCAAAACATAATTTACCAGATTTGCACACCCCCATCACCGATCCATTACAGACCAAGCACCGATACACACTGGGCAATGATCTCACCCTATGAATGACGAAAATCATATCCACCATGGACACAGGTAGTCTCCTATCGCATCATTTTGATAGGTATTTTGATCAATCATAGTTATTTTTATTATTTTTCATGATATTATTTGTTCTGAAATATTTTTTAATCTCCTTGAATGTTCTTATTTTTGAATCTTTTTTAATCACTTGTTAGAAATATATAAGCCTGGGACACAAACTTAGCATTTTAGTGGATCCACATCATATAAGCTATTTTACGTTTGCCTAAAAATGGGACATAGCAATAGCGGTAGCAGTAGCAGTAGCAGTAGCAGAAGAAATTGTAAAATAAGATATGAATGAATGAGAATGATTAATGAGAATGATTTTATCAGGATGAAGATGGATAATGATTAATGAGAATGATTTTATCAGGATGAAGATGAATTATGGTGGATGTAGGTGACCAAAAACACAATTGGAATAAATAGGGATGATAGACTATGAGGTAGTATTTGGTTCACTACAATAAAACAGAATAGAATGATCATTACATCTTCTATGTTTGGTTGACTAACAAAACAGTGACAAAATGCATACAAAGAGAATTATCATTCACTATTTTGAGGGAATAGTTAATCTATATAAAAGCCAAAGGAATGATCATTGCGTCCCATTCTCACTCATTCCAGTAAACCAAATGAAGCATGAGGGTTGGGTGTTCAATTCTGAGTATTGTTTTCGTGAGGATGGATGTTCCATTTCAATTTGTGTCAATTATAGTAATTTTAATTGAAATTATAATTGTCATTAAAAAAAAATATATCAGTAAGGGTCCTTTTAAAAATAAAAAATAAAAAAGAAGGGACTATTAGCGCCACTATTTTTAAAAATTTTAAACTAAAAACTAACATAGTGAAAAAAAAAAATATATATATATATATATATATAAAACACTCGTCATTTTAATATAAATAGTTTTAAATTTTTTTAGGGCAAACATAATTTTTAAATTTTTTATTTTGGTATTTATTTTTGTTAAATTAATTTCTTTTTTTTCAAAAAGATTTCTAAAAAATTATTGTAAATAATTAGCCATTGTCATTTTTTTTAAAATGAAAATAATTAGCAGACGAGTATTTGTTTCAACTTTAAAATTTTGAAGCAAAAACACAAAGCAAGAAAGAAAAACGTTAGCAAACAATCCAATTTAGTTTGAACAAATAGTTTGGAAATAAATAAATATATATATATATATATATATGAGGATATACATTAAAAAGAGAGGTAATACTTATCAAATTGAACAAGTAGTCATGATATCAGTTTAATTTGAACAAATAATAAAAAGAACAAATTTACATTTTCCAACTAAAGGAGAAGAAGGGGGGTTGAGGAGCTGCAATATTTTAGCATATTATTCTGTGCAAGGACATCCTCTTATTGCTAATTGAGAGTTGCTGCTTTAAAAAAATAAAAACACAAGTGGAATGTAAAAGGATTTGATACAAATTTATTTAGTGTAATTTTTCTCAAATTAAAAATTGACAATTAAAAAATAAAAATTAAAAACAACTATTCTACAGCTTCTACATAATTATTACTTTTATTCTTATTTTAGCTTAATTAACCACTCACTACCTTATAAGGTATAAAGAAATACTACACCAAATATTCTGATATAGTCTCAAAAGCAAATAAATAAACAAATACCATAAGCGGCATCTATAAATTGCACCAACTATTTGAGAGTGATCCAATATATATTCATAGTTATGACTCAATCACATTGTATAATCATATCTATAAATACAAACACATGAAAAAATTCTAAATATTTATTAGGATTTAGTTATCAGGTCACGTGGACAAATCTACTATACGAATTGTTCACAACTATATCATATAGATGTGAATACTTAGTAAGCCCATTAAAACCACTCTAAAACCTCACTAGGTCACTATTCAAAACTATGATTCATTGTTGTGGTTATCATAATTTCAACTACATCGCAGCATAATGAAAAAGGGAAGTTAAAGTATCTATTTATCGTGTCAAATAAAATCAAATTAAACTAAGCTTGACTAGAGAAATAATACCAACATGTAGGTGATAAGATTTGAACCATTGATCTCATAGTGGAGTATAGGAATTCTGGCCAATTAGATTTAACCCGTTAATTAAATCAAACTGCCTTACAAGTAAGTGAGTTGCATGATTTATTTTTCTAATTATCTATTATGTCAAAGACTATACACTTGGTTAAATTAAATAAATTTATAATTTATCATCTAATCTCCTTTTATGTTTAAAAAAAAATAGTAAGCCCTACAAGTTTTAACTCACATAATACTTCTTAATTTTATCAATAATTCGTTAATTTTATGAATAAAATAATGATATCTTTATACTTTTATATTATTTATATTAGTTTTGATTCATTTAATTTTATTTAAAAAATGTTAATATAATTATGTAAAATTATAAAATTTCTTATATTTCTTTTAAATACCAAAAAGAGGTGAGTGTAATTTATTTTTTTATTTTACTATGACATGATGGCATGTAAGGTTATTTTCCATGGACAAAAAGAAATAAATGAGAATTTGATAAGCTAACAAGATAAGGGGGGTGTACATCCAATTTTTGTCCATGGCTAGCTATATCTACAATGGCCCATATACAACTCCAAGCAACAAACAGTCCCCACTTGTAAAGGAGGCTGGCTTTAGAGAAGTTGCCAAATTTCTTGTTATAGAGAGAAGCATATTCAATTCAATTGACAATGGGGAGCAAAGCCAGCTGTAGTGATTGGGGGAGAGCTCAAGCTTCACTTATTCCACTCACATGATCTCTCTCTCTCTCTCTCTCTCTCTCTCTCTCTCTCTTTTGTTTTTTGACCATTAACTTCTTTGGGAGCCAGCCACCTTCCTTCCTAAGCAATAACTCTCTGACATCATTGTATGTGCAAACCAAATATTACTGCTAGGCTGTCTGTATTTGGGCAATTTGTTAAAATAAATTAGGTGAATTGCATTAAAATTCCTTATTTCCTTACTCTTTTTATTCATCAACTCATACGTAAGGATAACAATGGATCAGATTTTTAGTTTCACACGTAAATTCTTAATTTTAAACTGATCTATTTTAAGTCAATTTTAATAAGTGCCTTTATGTATTGTTTAATATTAGAAAGTTTGTAAAAAAAAATTATAAAAATACATAAAAATATTTAAAAAATTATATTGATTTCAATTAAAGTGGATTGAATTTAGTAAAAAGTGTTGTGTATTATATAATTTTTTTTTATTTTTTACTTGTGCTCTCGGGACACTTGTTAGCAAAACATCTATTTTAATAATACAATTTCATAGTTTATGCTAACATTGATAGTTTTTACCTACATAACCCTATAATTTACCCCACTTTATCAATACTCTTTCAAATCCTTTTTTATTAAAATCGGATTGGGACAATGAGGTTAAATGAATTAGTATTGAATTATTGATAAAAATGAAAATGTTATGTCAATTAAAATTTTAAGAGAATTTAATGTAATTAATCCAAATTTATAAGACTTATTATGTGTTTTCTAAACTCAGTGAGAGGTCAGTGTAATATACCAAAAAAAGTATAACAATGTATTTAAGCAAACATGTTCAATTTTTTTCACAAGGTATTAAAAGTTGTACCAAAGAGATTTATAATTTGTTTCAAATTTTTTATACCAATAATTTAAAAAACTATAATTACAAAAATTAACTTATAAGTAATGGCAATTTACCAAACGACCAAAAGCTTGCCAAACATCTCATAATCATGCGCATACTCAAAATTTTGAGGTAAAATTTTCACCCAGAATCTCAACACATCAAATATTGAAGTTAATTTTAAAAAATAATAATTTAACTCAAAATTTAATGAGATGAGATAGGTGGGAAATTGTTAATGCACTAACATATATAAATGCTCTTTTGACTGTCCGAGCTGCTGAAAATGGCCTACTTGCCATTACTGAGGGCTACAAGAAAAATCTAAAAATCACTGGTCAATATAGATCTTGTGAATCAAATAATGAACTATTATTTTTTAGCCCCCACAAAAGAGGATGACACATTAAAGGCTTGCGTACCCAGTTTAATGAGAGAGTGAAGAAAAGAAACACCTGCGTTTTACAGTTGGGAAGAAGCAAGGAATGAAGACAAATCATGAGCAAATAAATAAGGATAAATTATAGATACACTTCTCACGCTTATTTAAAATATAAGTTGTCTTTTATAGTTTAAAAAATTATGAATATCCTATTGTTAAAAAAATTATTTAATAGAATAAATTCAAACAATAAAATTCATAATTGCTCTCCTATACAATAATAAAATTATCTAAATTATTAATTGAAACATATTTCTAATATAATTAAAAACTGTTAATTGATTTGATGATTTATTAATAAAAATGATGATTTGTTATGAAATTAGAAACCTCAATAGGTGAAATGTAATTTTCAAAACTACAAGGAGCAATTTGTATTTTAATCAAAACTCAAGGATATATTTGTAATTTACCCAATAAATAAATAAATAAAGGTTTCTTTCCTATCTTATAGTTTGAGGGGTGCCTCTATTTACACATCACTTTTCATCTCAATGCACACCATTAATTAGTTTATTTTTTATTACAATATTAACCTAATGTAAAATGACTACAAAGGACAAAGGGTTGTGATACACACCTTATGTAAAATTACCATAAAGGACAATAATGAATACAATACACACCTCTTCTCAAACGTTACTTACGTATCTTCTCTCTCAAAAACCAAAAAATCCTAAACCAAAAACCAAAAATCTTTAAAGACACATCACTTTTCATCTCAAGGCACACCATTAATTAGTTTATTTTTTATTACAATATTAACCTAATGTAATATGACTACAAAGGACAAAGGGTTGTGATACACACCTTATGTAAAATTACCATAAAGGACAATAATGAATACAATACACACCTCTTCTCAAACGTTACTTACGTATCTTCTCTCTCAAAAACCAAAAAATCCTAAACCAAAAACCAAAAAATCCTTAAAGAAACAACCAAAAATATACATATTATTGAAAATTTTGATTGGACTGAATAATGGATGCATCTGGCAATATTGGTTTGGAACAATGGAGTCAGGAAAAGGTTAGTTTGTTTGTTTTTTTTTTTTTTTTTCGTGTACTTGCTGAGTAGTAAATTATTTGTATTCGTTCAGATACCCAGATTCGAACAATGTACTCATGTTCGACTATCTACAACCAAACAAGTTCTAGTTGTTTGATTTTCGAGTGTCGAACATAGTCCACAAGTTCGGTTAGTAAGTTCCGAACTTATAGCATTTGTTCGGTTTTCAACAGTCGAACATTTGGATTTAGCTAGACTCTGTATTTCCGGACACTTATAATAATTTTCTTTTTTTATTTTTTTTTCCAGAACTGTGCATCCATGGAATGCAGTAATGTTGGATCGGAGTGTTTTGTTGACTACACAAGTCAATTTATTACTAAAGAGTGAAGTCGTGAACCAGAAGAGAATAGAGTGAAGTCGTCTTTAGCATGAACGGAGACCGGTTTAGACTAGTTTAGACTGGTTTCCAAACCTCTGGAATGATGACAATGAAACAGAGAATGGAGGGGGACGTTCACAACGTGTGTGTTTTTGAAGTAGACGTGTATATTACAGGAAATATAGAAGATTGAAGATTGTGGGTGGGGTGTGTAAGTGCGTAAAGGTAAAGAAGAAAGATCGTGGGTGGGATGTGTAAGTAAGGGCAAAGACGTAAGATTATGGTGTGTATTGAGCAAATTTCTTATTTATCAAATTACTAAAGGTGTGCCTTCAGTAATGGTGTCCCTTGAAATAAAATGCGATATGTAAATAAAGGCACCCTACTTCCAGATCTTTTTCTAACTTTTATTTTATAAAGTTGTAACAACACATTATTTAAACTTAGAATCAATTGCCTATATTTACCAATTTAAATTTTTTTTATCCGTAATTGAATTCAAAAGATAGATTAAGAGATTTTTATTGATAAATCCATTCTAGAGTTGTTATAACCCATTAGGTCCACTAAAGTATATTATAACCTAATTAGTCCCATAAACTTTTCTAGATATTCCATAAAGTCCATTTTTCTAATTTAATATAATTTTTTGGACTATTTTGCCCCTGTATATATATATGTACAGTGTTAATACGTAATAGGTGCATGTTTCTTCGTTCATGCAGTTTGGCAGTTTCTATTTTACGCTTTTCATCATCAATCCAATTCCGGGAGTTACGTTTATGTTTTGCATGCTCGTTGCAAGGATTGGTTGTGCCAGGGTTTCATCATTGTTGTTGGTGTCTGGTTCTGTGGTTTGCGAGTGAAGACGACGAAGAGGAGGGTGTTCGGTTGTTACATTTGCCGGATTATAACTACTTCAAATCAGTTTTTTTCAACTTTCTGTACGATTGTAGGATTGCATGATCAAGGTTAGTATCAATTTGGTTATGAATACATGTTCAGTTTATGGTTTCATTCGTGTAATGGATCAGATGCTCTGTTTTTGGATTTATATGGATTGAATGCTCTGTTTTTTCAATTATATGCATTTTACGTGGTTATGTGGAGGGGAGTTCATTTGTATTATGTGAATGTTTTCATCAATGTTGTCAACTTCCACACCAAAGCTGAGAAATGTGAACATTCACATCAGAGTGTTCAGAGCCCGTATATGTTCATATTAAACATAGAATAAGTTGTATGAGATTTGATTTATCATTAACAACATCACACATCCGGTGACTCGTCCTGGTTTTCCACAGTTCTGGCCCAATGAACCCATCAAGGTTGCCCGGATGCTCTCAGCCCAATCATACTCGATCATCTTGTGTAATGGGTCCATGTATGAGTAGAAAACCCATCCAATTGTTTCTCCGGATGTAGAAAAGAATAGCTTGACGCATGCATACATGCAAACTAATCGTGCAACCTCCTCATTGTCATGTTTTTTTGTGCCCTTCAATGCTTCCCTCAGAATTTCTCGTATTTTGGCAGCACTTAACCGACTAACATCCTTGCACATTCGGTGTATGATGCCGGTTGTTGGTTTTGCGCCATAAGAGAGGTCCATCGACTTGGTGCCGCAGTCCACCCCAAAAATCAGTGATACGTCGCTTCTAAAAATCTGGATGTTCTTATCCCCAATGTAAAACCTTCCACTAGATTGCTTGAATGTTTGTACTATACGCACAATGACATCATCATATTTCATGCAGTGGTTGAGGTCAATTTCGTTATTGATCAAGCTATCAAATAATGGCCAGAACGGTGTTTTTCTAAGGCACTTCAATTGGCCACTTGTAAATTTCGTATCCTTTAACAGTTTGACCAATCCAGTTATATTTGACCGGTAGTTCACTTTTTTCATGTTCACTTCTTCAGGAACAACTGTTTGATCAGGCTTGGTTTCGAAACGGGATTCCCCTCGCTTTCGCTTGCCATCAACTTTATGGGGAAGACCTGTGTGTTCAAATGAGCACATGTAATTGGTTGAAACACAGAGGATGGAACCCGAAGCACCAAACAACATTCAACATCCAGCATTGACAGTAATTGGAACATTCACATCATTATACAGTGATGTGAATGTTCACATCAGTGTTTATTACTGTAAGTTTACGCAGTAATCAATAGTAATGTGAATGTTCACATCATTCATGTGTGCAAAAACAAATCCCGAAAACTACAACAGTTAGAGGCCAATGTGAATGTTTACATATATTTTTACAAAATTAATCCCGAAAACATCTATGTTTGATGACATTATGATTGAGAAGCAGAAGGAGGAATGGTATTCCTTACTTTTGTTCGTCATAGTTGGTGGGTATGGATCACACTTAGTGGATAAAATAAACTCAATGGGGCGACAAGAATCTTCGAACGACGAAGCACCCTCCTTCCGATGTGAAGCTTCGCAGTGGTGAGACGAAGAGGAATCTAGGGTTACTGGATGCAATATCAGTATCGTTTCGTCGATTGAGTTTTTGTTTTGGAAATTTTGTGGATTGAATATTTCGAATAGGAATGGGTTTTGGCAGAATCGGTTTCACACGGGAGAGGCGGAGAGGGTTATTTCGTCCTTTAACAATTAATGGACCTAATGGAATATTCAGAAACAGTTTGGATTTTATGGAACAAAACAGTTATAAATAGGACTTATCAAAAAATGGCCCATAGATTAATTGATATGACTGTTTTATAGTATGAACAAAAGCTACCTTTAAGTGTAAATTGGAAAAAAATCAAACATGAAGAGCCAAGTGAAAAATTAAAAAAAAAATGATAAATTACAAATTACAAATTACAAATAGGTTTGTTTAAAATACGAATTGCCTCTTATGGTTTGGAAAATTATAAATACCTTCGTAAAAAAAATTTATTTAACAGAATTAATTGAAAAAATAAAAAATTTATAACTGTTGACCTATACAATAATAAAATTATCTAAATTATTAATTAAAATAAAGTTTTAACATTATTAAATGCTGTTAATTAACTTGATGATTTATTAATAAAAGGACCTATTTGTTATTTAATTAGAAACCTTATGGGGCATAATGTAATTTCTAAAATCACAGGAGGTAATTTATAATTTAAGTAAATCTCAGGGGGTATGTTTGTAATTTATCCTAAAAAAATAGTCAAGGGGGTAGCATGTAATTTATCTGAAATATTATTGTAACAAATGGGGGCAATTTTATTTCCACACACCAAAATATCTCACTCTACATCCTCTCTTAATATACACACCAATTAATTTAAATGTTGTAATTTTACTCAATGCACAGCCCTTTTTGTCAAAAATATCCTTCTCTTTAACATTGAAACCCTAAACTAACACTCATTCTCTAGTTGGTGAAGAGCAATTCTTCAAGCATTCTTGCAATGGCCTGGTAAAAAAAATCTTCTGACTACAAAAATGAAACATATGTATAAATTGGGACACACAAGCAAACAAATAATACATCACCATAAAGATATTAAGAAATCGATCCAAAAATTCACTCACTACAAACAAAAAAAATTGAATTGAAAGAATATTCCTATATAGTAGTGAAAATGTGCATGTATGAGATAGCCACACACACACACAAAAGAAGAAGAAGAAGAAGAAAAAGAAGTAAAACAGTAAAAATGACATATTGTTAATAGCCTTTTCAACAGTGAAATCAAAACTGTAATAAAAAGTTCTTGAAAACAATAGTAAAAAGCTCTTGAAAACAAATATATAAACAATGTATTAGGAAAATTCCCACTCAATTGGTTAGTATTGAGATCAAGAGATTGCAATGAACTCAAATTTTCAAAACTGTAATAGCGGCAGCAACACCGATGGGCAGTAACTAGGATTAGGGTTAAAAAATTAAGGTTTTGGTGGAGAAGACAAGAACACTTTAGTAATTTTATTTTAAGACAAAATTGTAATAAAAAATAAATTATTAAGTGTGTGTACAGAGGTAAATAGATGTGTAAAAATAAAATTTCCCAACAAATGGGCAAGGACACCTTTTAATCCAAAAATTCACATAATGAAGTTTATTTTTAAGAGAGAGAGAGAGATAAGGGATACACCTTTTAATAAACAAAAAAATCCTTTTGACAAAGGATTATTTTAGCAAGTAGGTTAAAAGTTAATTTTTTAATTTTTTTAAAAAATAGAAAAATAATATGACTTAAAAAAAATTAAAAGTCAAAAAAATAACTTTTAACCTCATGCCAAAAGAGGTCAAAATAATGAAAAAGAAGAAAGTGATAATAGTGTACAAACTCTCACTTGTAGGAGAGCATCAGAGGCATGTTTGGTAATTTTTTTGTTTTTAAAAAAGTTCAAAAAAAAAAAATATGGAGAAAAAATGGTAACTAGCTTCATTAACAAAAAAATGACATCAACATTTTTTATAAAATAAATAATAAAAGTGAAAAAAAAAAAAATGTGCTCCCCTCTTCCCCTCCATTTGCAACTCCCCTCCCACTAAAGCAACCCCTCCAACAACCTTCCTCTCTAGCAACCACCCCACTCCAAAAGTCTCACTATGAAACCATCATCGGCTTTGGCAATACCCTACTTGTCTGGCAACCATCCCCACTTTTCGACAGAACCCACCAACAATCCCTTCGGACAAACTCACCTCTTTGTCACTCAAGCCACTAATAACTCTTTGAATATATATTTTTCATTTTGATTTTTATTTTAGTGCATGTATGCAACATATATATATATATATATATATATGTATGCATGTATTTTATAAAAGGAAAACACAAATAACATATGTATACATTTTATAAAAGGAAAACACGAACGGTATTAGTAGTTTTTTTTTTTTTTTTTTCAAGACATTTTTTTAGAATCGCATTAACTGTGTTTGGTTAGGGAATTTAAAGAGGAATTTAGAAAGGAAAATGAAAAAAGTATGTAAAACTATGTAAAATATAAGTATTTTTTATTCATATTTCACTTTCCCTTTCTATTTTTCTTTCCAAATCTCTCTTCAAATTTCTCAACCAAACACAACATAAACGCATTATTGCATAATAAATTTTTAAATCTATCAAATTGCAATCACCTACAAATAACATACATGAATTAAGATTAACATATAATGCATTTGAGTTTAGAATTAATGTCAAAGGAAACCCTTTTATCATTTAGTCATTTGATAATATTTTTGAGATCATTAATATTGCTCTAACAAGAGTCTCATGTTTTCTCAAAAAAAAAATGAAAAATAAAAAACAAGTTTCATGGAGTAAGTAATTGCAAATTAAAGGGGATACAAATACGTGATAGTGAAGTGAGAGTTGTGTCTTAATCACAATTTTCATTTATACAACCAGAATTGATAATCATTTGCAACTCTTTAAATTTGTAATCATTTAACTCATTTCCTACACTTATAATTATTCCTAATTAATTCTTCTCTTGACCGTATTGTAAAGGCTTAAATTGAGATAAAATTAAAAAATTCAAGTTTGAATCTATCAAAGGATCACTCAAAGATTTTCCAATATATAGTCAACTTTAAATAATTAAAAAATTTATTTAAAAAAAAAAATTTACAATGTTTGGTGAATCATGCTCTAACATTCAACGTCATTCACGCATTTCATCAACAGCAAGATTAGTACCCTCAAATTTCAATCTTAGCTGTCATTCATCTTGAGTTATCTACTTGAATATTACTTGCCCAAAAACATCTTCTTTAATAAATAATTTAAAATTGCATGCCAACGCCATTGTCAAGAAAATAATGTACCCTAAAAAAACAAAAAAAAAATATCACGAGAAAGTGACTGAATGCAAATAATGTCATTAAAAAATAAAAAATAATAAGTAAATAAAGATTAAAAAATACAATAAAAAAATAGGCAGGTTCCAATTGAATCAGAATGTAAATCATCATCCTATACAATTAAAAAAGCCCAAAAAAATCTCACTTCTCTTCTTCTTCACATTAGCCTCTCTTTTTTTTCAAGTTTAAAAACAAGTTCAACGTCCAATTTCCAAATAGATAAACAAATTCTCACAATGCACCAAAAAAAGGGTAATAACTCACTTAATAGTAATAACAATCAATCATTGTAATAATTTAAAAAAGAAAATAAAAATTGAACCGAGTTGTGACTCGGTGAATCATGGCAATGCACAACCGTGGCGCGAAAAACCGAGTCGTGACCGGTCCTTATCGAACTCGAACAAAAACCCTTGTTGCATCAAGTTGCCAATAACGGAGGACCCCGACGGCGAGCTAACGGGTCGTAACGCCAGGCACTTAACGCCGTCAGCAATGGCAAGGAAGTAGTTCCGGGGAGGCGGAGCAAAAACCGAGTCACCAGCGAGTTTGAAACTCAGTCTGGGTAGACTCGGCCTAGACACGCCAGACACGTTGACACAAAGATCAAAGCCGCGAGTCGGCTCGGCTGGCTTGGGCAACTTAACGCGCCGTTGAAATGCGGCTAAAATTGTACGGTAAGCCGGGTCGGCTAAAAATGTCAGGGTCGTGCCCGAGTCCATGACGGTACCTCCGTTACCCGAATCATCAACGGCCCAAACGGAAGGGCTTATCGGTAATTTCACGCCACTAACGGACACGCTTTGAATCCCAATATAGTAAAATGTCGGAGATAGAGGGTTGATTTGCAAAGGTGTGAACTTGATTATTGACTTTCCGACGTCGTTTTGGTCGCCGCCGATGATGAGAAAGCTCGTCGGAGGAGGAGAGAGAGTGTAGTCCATTAAACAGTACGAGAACTTGTTGCCGAACCGGCGGCCCAGTTGGGACGACAGCGAGATGGGCCCATTACCCAGGCCCATGACTCCTTGGGCCCCATTGAAGCTGGGACCCGAAACACTCGGACCGGAGACCCGGAAAGCGCAACCGAAATTGAACCCGGTCTGCCTGACTTCCTTGCCGGAGCTGGTGTTAAGGGTCGTCGTTTCGGCGGAGAAGAAGCCAGTGGTGAAAGACCCATCAACGTAGGAGTACTCGAAGCGACATGGGCTGTGGAGGCGACTGTGGTTGCAAGGGACGCGTTTCGGGTGGGAAACGAGTTGACACGCTGAGTCGAAACAGTGGTGGGGAGAGAATGAGGAGGAGTGGCGAGCCAGGAAAGCTGAGTTGGGTGAGTGGTTAGTGCAGTTGCGGCATGCGGAGCAGGTGACCCAGACGAGGTCGCTGCCGGTGTCGGCGACGAGGAGGAGGCGCTGGGGAGGGGTGCCGAGGCGGAGATCGACAAAGTATTGGCCGGAGCCGGAGGAGGCGCCGGAGACGATGGGGAAGCGGGGGGTTTGGCGGCGGTGGAGGGCAGAGAGGCGCTGGGAGTCGGAGGAGAGGGCTTGGGAGGGGGATTGAAGTGGGTTTCGGTGGAGGAGTGGGAGTTTGAGGGAGTCGGTGGGGATGGATTGGGGGGTGGATAGATCAGGGAATAGAAGGAGGAGAGGGAGAATGAGAGGGAGTAGAGAGAGTCGGTGGGAGAGATGGTAGAGTAGTACCATTGTTGTGTTGGGGGAGGAGGTGAGATGAGAGAGTGACGAGGGAGTAAAGATGGAGAGAGAGAGTTTGGATGGGTGCAAAGGACGGACTATATACGTATGTTTTGATTGGTTATTGAAAGTATAGTATACGGTATACACAATCGTATAGTATATATGTAGGTAATTACTTAATAATCCTGAAATATAAATACTTAATAATTCATAATATCTATACTGTATATTAAGCAAAAGGGGGTTTCTAATCCCCAAAGCCTGTGAAAGCTCCAATATGTCAGTCCTAATTTTTTAATTTTTTGTTTTTTTTTTAAAAAAATTAACCTCAACATTTATTAATTTCTCTCAACCCAAATCTAAATTTCTTGATTTTTTTATTTAAAAAAAAAACCTTAACATTTATTAATTTCTCACAACCCCCAAGTCTTACCCTTATAATAATATTTTAATGCATTAAGTATAAATATAAAAAAAATTCTTTAAACCTTAGATTGTTAAATTATTTTTATAAAAAATCTTAAAAAATATAATTTATATATTAAAAAAATTTAAAATAAATATAAATATTTATAATTAATCCCTGCATAATACGGGTGATAGGCTAATTGTGATAGAAGGGAAAGGCAGGTAAAGAGTTGATGTAACTTAGGCTTGGTTTGGAAAGTGAGTTGGCTTTTTGGCTTTTTTATTTTTTTTGACTATTTTAGCCTCGGCTAAAAACTTGATTTGGGAAGGAATTTTTGGCTTTTTTGACTTTTTTTATGAGAGAATAGTGTAATGATTATGGGTTAGATGTGATGTTTTATTTTTGTGACTAAAATAACATATTTTATCTTTTACGACTAAAATAACCAAAAAAATCCCAACCCAACTTGCCAAACGGAGCCTTAAAAGACCATGCTAAAACACCATGAGTAATTGTTCAATGGGTTTTGTTAAGTGTACCTGAGGATAGGGGTGAGCATGGTCCGGATTGGACCGGATTGGGACAAAACCAGAACCAATCCGTTATCTACGGTTCCTAAAAAATCGGAACCAATCCGATCCGTTTAAATCTTGGAACCAATCCGAACCAATCCATTTCAACACGGATTGGATCGGTTTAGGACCACGGATTCACATAATTAAATAACAAAAAATATATATATATATATATAATACTTTAATTTTATAAAAATATAAACATAGCGCTATATTAGTTCTACAATAGCAACATATTTTTTTATAATAGCGACATAATGTTCTAGAATTTAAACAATCATAAAAAAACTAGTTTCATCATAAGTATTTAGATCATTACAAATTAAAACTAAAAACTAAAAAACAAAAGTAATAAAAGAAGATATTATACGAGGTTTAGGTTTGAGTTTAGATTTTATATAGAATAAGAGAAGATACTATGGGGGAGGATGTATAATAAAAATATAGACTATTTGTATACGGTCCGGATCGGTTCCAATCCGGAACCGTGAGGTTCAATCCGGAACCAATCCGTGGACTACGGATTTTTAATTCTTCAATCCGGAACCGAACCACGGATTCGAAAAACCAATCCAAACCTATCGGATTGGACTGGACTGGATCGGATTACGAATTTTACAGATTTCTTGCTCAGCCCTACATGAGGACACATGTAAATAATAGGTTAAGGTTTCCTTTGTAAGGGGCATAAAAGTTATTTTTTGACTTTTAATTTATTTTTAATTATATTATTTTTTTATTTTTTTATAAAAAGTTAAAAATATAAGGAGAACTACATATACAGATGCTAGAAAGGGAAAATAATTATCAGCACATTAGGGATTGCAAGTAATACTTGCACCTTCACAATCTTTCATTTACACCCTCACCACAATTTATTATTTCATAATAAATAAAAATTTTAATTTATAAATCATACTGAAATATTAAAAAATATATTAAAATAAATAAAACAAATATATTATATTCTACAAATATTTTGTCTCACTCGTGCCTAACGGGAGTTTTTATCATTTCTAGGGGGAAGATGAAAAGTGAAAAACTGAGGAAAATATCCACCATCGGCTTGGTTTGATTAATAATAAAAAAGGTAAATTACACTTACATCCTTTAAAATTTTTACTGATTACATAGATCACAGTTTTAATAATTATACTACCATCTCTTATTTTTAAAATTATTAATAAGATTCTTTCATTTTTAAATTATTTAACAGAATTTGCTGATGTTATATTAATATCATACCAAAAATGATAAAAAAAATTTCATTAATTACTTTATCTATTCAAATAAGAAATTCCACTCACCTCCCATAAGATATTACATATATAAAAATTCATATATATTTTGCCGTTATTTAATAAAATTTTTAAATTTTATGTAATATTAAATAAAATCCTTAAATTGTTAAGACATTATTAAATCATTTAATATAAAAAAATTAATTTTTATTGACAAAATACTTTAAAAATAAATAATCTCTCTAAACTTTAAATTAGATAACATGCTAATAATTTAACATAAGACTTATTTCACACCACATAAATAACCTAAAATTTATTATTTTAAGAAATGAATTTATTATTTGAATTTTTTTAAAAGTTAAAATAAACAGATTTTTCCCCCCCAACAATTTGCATTACTTATTTATTCATATATAAAAAATTTATTATTTTATTTTTTTCTCACTCATATATTATTCTAAAATTTAAATTTTATCTTTGAGTCATTAAATTTTTAGTCAATGCATATTACAAAAAACACAGGTTACTATTTCTTACATGATTAAAAAAAATTAAAAAATAAAAATAGAAGTAAAAAAATTCTAATCGCCTCACAATAAATTAAAATTAGTTAATAGGGAATAAAAGATCAAAAAACCATTTGAAAATAATAAACAATTCAAACAATTTGTTATTTCTTACACCTAAAATTAAAATTAATATTTACTTGAATGGAGAAATTATTTGAGAATAATAAAATACTCAATTAATTTGTTATGTATGATACATAAAATCTAGTTCTCCATATTTATTTATCTCATTTAACTATTTTTATAAAATTAAATTTTAAAATTAATTTATCACCTTCATTAATGGTTGAATTTTTATTTTATTTTTTGTTTATAAAATTTTAAAAACTTTTTGTGGAAAAAAATAGAGTCAAGAAATTACATTTATATTTTTAAAAAAATTATGAAAAATAAATAATAATTTCATATATATTTAATAGGGTAAATTAAATTACATTTTTTTTTCTTTAGAAAGTGTTTTATTTCGTTATGTGTTTAAAGTAATATTAGAGTTTGATTTATCAGTCTTATCAATAAAATTATATGAGTATTAGATATACAGAATAAGTAAAATTTGATAATTTAAGTGATAACATTCCCTATAATTAGTAATAGAACAAAATAAAGGTGAGAAGTCAACAATTAAATAAAAATTTAACCATTAATAAAGGTGAGAAATTAATTTTAAGATTTAATTTAATAAAAATAGTTTAAATAAGAAAAATAAGGATGGAGAAATATATTGTAAGTATCATACAATAAATTAATTGAATATTTTAGTATTATCAATTAATTTCTCCATTCAAGTAAAGATTAATTTTAATTTTAGGTGTAAGAAATGAGAAACTGCTTGAATTGTTTATTATTCTTAATTTTGATCTTTCATTCACTATTAACTAATTTTAATTTGAATAAAGATTGGGACCCCCTTTCCCCCACTCCCTTTGACCCCCTTTCTTTTTTGATTGGTCACTTTTTTTTTCTTTTTTTCTTTTTTCTTCTCCTCCAATCACCACTCGCCACATGTGTGTGGGGTGGTGGGAGTAGAAGTTTGAGGGGGGTCTAAATCACTGCCGTTTTAATTTATTGTGAGGCGATTAAATTTTTTTTACTTCTATATTTGTTTTTTAATTTATTTTTAATCAGGTCAGGATAACCTGCGTTTTTTTAAATATGCATCAACTAGAAATTTTAATGACTCAAAAATAAAAATTGAAATTTGTTAATAATATCTTAACAATTTAGGAATAAATAATTTTCTTACATATAAATAAATAAGTAAGACAATTTGCTGGAAAAAGAAATTAATCCTTTTGTCTCAACTTAAAAAAAATAATAATAATAAATACATTAATTAAAATTGAATTTTTTTTGTTATTTATATAGTGTGAAATAAATCTTATAAGTATTGTATTAATTACTAGAGTCTTATATTAAACTATTAAGGTGTTAAGTTAAAATATGTTTGGGTTTTTAATAATATTTATGCAAAATCCTAGGAGAGGTGAGTGAAATTTTTTATTTAAATAGCTTATGGGTTGATTAGTAATTTTCATCTCTTCCTTCTCAATTCAAAGGAACAATATGGTCATTTTGAATAGCCAAATAACGTTATTTGTGCTAAATTAATGTATTGGATAAATCTTGATATTGTTAGCAAAAGTAAAAGAGATTTTTGTACTTATTAAAACCACATAGGAGGTCTCTATATATGTCAGAGACTTGAGAGGAGGTAAATGTAATTTACCCTAATAAAAAAGTATCCTTTTTTTTAGTTTTTTAAATAATTAATATTTCTAACTTTTTTTAGAACAATTAACATTTCTAACTTAAGCCATGAAAACACTATGGGCATGTTTGATTGATAGGATTAGAACATAGGATTGGTATTATTAATCCGTGGGCCCAATAATTGTAACGCCTTAAAAATAATTACAATAATTTGACACAACACAATACACATAAGACAACGTAATCAAAATAATAAACTTCCATTAACTTGAATCGTTATACAAAAGTAACATATGCGATATACATTTATAAATAATTCATTATGAATTTACAGCATGTGTTACAAGTAGGAAAAAGAAATAAAAGTCAAACAGATAATTATATGCCCTAAAGGCTTATATCTTTCCAAGTCATTACTTGGTTACAATAAAAAAGAGTCTAACTCTATACAATTTAAGCCATTGGCTATACAAATAACTACAAAAAGTAAAACTCGTGCTCCAAACTCCTTCCGAGCTACTACCTTGGCGGAGGTATATCATCACCACTTGAAAATAATTTTTCCCAA